AAACTGCTCTGAGGTGAAAGTGCTGTGCTCATCAGAGAAGGCATGGGAAGGAACGGCGACAATTTTGTTGTTAACGCGCAAACCTGTGTTTTCTTGGCGTTGAACTCAACAAGATTACTGGATCCCCATGCAGAGATAAGGTCCAATATTCTATTGAGCTCAACGACAAGATCAGATCGCTCTCTGTCAGTATCGGCGCGCCCAGCTGCGGGGAATCCATGATATCCCCCATGAACAGTGCTATCATCTGCATAACAATGAATATTCCCAAGTGGAATATTCATTGGAAGTAGCTTGACAATACACTTCTTTTTTTAAATGATCAAAGGTTACTGGTGTTTTTCTTACTGATCTCTTTTTACAATCATCCTATACTATCATTTAGTACCTAAGAGTGTTTATTTTTGCATTTTTAATTGGATTGATTCCTGCTTTAGGTAACCTTTTAAAAAGTCTGTGAATGCAGTTATTCATAATTAATATTAAGAAAAATAAAAGAATGTTTCCTTTAGGTAAAATAAACTGTCCTGAGTACGTAAGGTAGACCGTATCCCATTGATTTTTTCCAGCCTGCAAATTAATAAATAATAAATAATAAATTAATGATTTATGTTCAAAACAATTCGTGTTCATATCTTTATTTTCAGGCAAACACGGTTTTACAAAATGTCTAGCAAAATATTAAACCTATAAGCAATACATGTTATGACCTGCAAGGGCGATGAAAATTACGAGTAATAACTTAAATAAGTACTTGAATTTAACTAATATATCTAAGGACTTGGCCAATGGCATCTATCTTTTAGTAAATATTTCGTATAATTTACAAAACATTTAGCTGATTAGGTACTTTTTTAGATGTATGAGTAAGATCGTGTAGAAAAAATAAATTCCCAACATAGTTGTCATCAAACATAAAGTATAACATCTACTTACTCATCCACTTGAATCCAAAATTCCTGTTTAGGTCAACACCATTACTCATGTCGTCATTGGTTGTTCCAGGACAAGTTGTATTGTACATTGTATTTCTGTTCTTTCTCCACATTCTGTCCTACGAATTAAAAAAAGGACAGTAGATTACTTTACGTCTCTATCGTACGATATTATAATACTTTATAAAATATAAATTTATTATAATAAATTTTATGTCAAATAAAGAAGAGTCAGAAGTACATAACACACACTTTGGACAGTCGTATCGTAAGTGATTTTAAACCGATGTAGAATTTGAATCTTAAGTGTAAAGGAAGAATTATGCTTTCGGTATTAGGTCATTGATGTATCAACATACATATATTGTTAGCGTAGAAACCAGCAGAGTTAACAAATGAAAAATAGAAAACAGATAATGACCAGCTTCTTTAATAAAACTTGAAAAAAATTTAATAATTTCCCGATAAAAAACAGTGCCTCCAAAAAGTCAATAAAGTCAATCAGTAAGGCAACAACTCGTTGAGAGCCAGAGAAGATAGTTGTACTGTAAGTAGGCGAGGAATTGGGCAGTCTGCCGCCTGCAGCAAAAGCAGTCCTGACAGCAATATCAGATCAAGGAGGAAGTAAAATAAATGTTCATCTTATGACCGAGATCCCTATACCACCTAACCGGAAAAAACCTGATGATCTTTAAACAGCTTACCCGAAGTTCATCAGACATAGCTAAGAACCATTCTAATTAAATTAGAGTTCAAATACAAAAAAAAAACTCTTTACGATCAGTAAAATCGTTTGGGAGTTACGTTGCTGCAGATAGACATACAGATAGAAGACATATAAAGACTTCAAACTTATAACACCCCTCGTTCTCGGGGGTTAAAACATATATGAAAGACGATTGCATTTGTTTATACTTACATCTGTAAAGCTATACTCATAACCATCTGGATTGACAACAGGAAAGATATGCCATTCAAAGTTTTCAGCCAATGCTCTGATTTCTGGGTCATTGCTTGTCAAAAACTCTTTGATAATCCAAGTAACGACAGCTGGACTAATCCATTCCCGCGCATGAAGAGTTCCTTCTAACATTCCAATATAGTTGTTATTTGGATTATAGTTGATTTTGATTCCTTTGATGTCTCTGTTTTCGACGGAGACTCCCATACTAACTTCAGTGACAATGTCTGGATAGTTTTCAACAAGTTCGTCAAGCCAGGCATTAATTTCATCAAGATTGTGGTATTCATTCCACGTCATTGAATGAAAAGCTTCGTTGGAACGAGAAGTTGTGGCAGGCTTTTGTTGGTTGTCTATAACACTGAACCAATAAATTATAATTTAAGCATACTCGTTTGTTTTAAACGAATCTATCTTCAAACGATTTCATCACGTTAAACGAAATTCCGAATAGGTCTGAATTTGATACGTTGTGTACCTTACTTGTCTTTTTCAAGACTTTGGTGGCACGCCCTTCCCAACAGAAACAACCATCACTTCACCAGATTACAAAGTAACAAAAGACAATTAAATACACGTACCATTTCTTCTCAAATACTATTACAATATTTACACATCCAATGCACACGAAAACACAAATGAGGCAAAAGCTTCTAATAAAAAATTCGAGGCTTTAAAGTTCACAATACTACTTTAAACTACTCATTGAATTATTTCAAGCTTTCGTAAGAGTTTCTACCCGAGTACAGCCCCAAGGATTATAAAAATTATAGTAAAAAAACATTAATTCGCTAGTTCTTACATCCAAGAAGTTTTTTATTTTATTTTGAATTAAAATTGTCACTACTTACTTTTGCAAATCCTTAATAACTTCTACAGTTTCAATTCCAGTTTTTTCCATTTGTTCAAGAAAAATGCTTTGTTTTTCTTTAGCAACCATTACTTTAACTGCATGGTTAACATTGTATGGTTCCATCCAAAATTCTCCAATGCCATTACTTTCTACGTCTTTTAAGACATTCACTTTATCTTTCGTATTTGGAATCACATTATAGACTTTGTAACCTTTGTAACTTTTTTTATGAGCTGTAACAGTTACAATAATAAATAATACAAAAAATAAACTTTTCAAGTCCATTTTTGCACCAACATTAAATTTAAATCAGTAATATGTATATACTACTTATAAATTTGGTGGCATTTTAATGATAATAATGATTTCAATGACGGCGAATCATTATCGATTAGACATCAGATATACGTACCGATATTAAATGATTAGGCAATGTTTTTGGAGATATATAATTATGTTCTAGTCCTTTAAATATGTGGTTGTAGGTGTGTAGTAGATCTTACTGTATAATCCAAATAATAATAAAAAAAGAATTGAAGTTAATTCCATGGCTCTGTTACTTATTGTACAGGGAATTCCTTAATTTGAGACCAGGAAATTATTGTGGATGTCTGGTATTATTATTAATTATGAAACGTAATGTTAATGCGACCGCCAAGTGCTACTGTCTCTTTCACTCCTATGAAAAAAATGGTAATCGTGAGCGAGTTATTCATGTATGTTTGATATCTACGTTTGTTGAAATAATTATTTCAAGGTTGAGTCATTACTTGTCATTTTTGGAGTTGTCGTTGATAACATTGTGGTTAGTATCTTTAATGGGCATTTATAAGCAGTAGAGCTTCTTGTGAAGTTTATGGGGAAGTACAGCCACCTTAACGACTTCAACCGTCAGGCAGTAATGTGAGTAAGTAAGTAAGTAAATACCTGCCTATATGTACAATGTGAAAGTCAAATAATCGTTTATTCCTCCTCCTACCGCAAAATCACGGCTATTTGGTTTCGCAAAATAGAAAAGGGTTCAGTTTAAATACAAGTTTTTATAAATAAAAATTATTATTCTGCATTGCTAAATAAATACCCTCCGTACTACAACAAAAACATCTCAAATAAAATGCAGTAATACACCGCCAATCCTGCACTTAAAAAGCACTAATGAAATTTTTGGTGTACTTGGATAAATATGATAATATTCCGTTTGAGTAGTTCTAACATTTACCATGAAATTACTCCTTAAAGTATAGTTTATAAACATTTTTATTTAGGGTAAACTTCAATAAATAAACACCGAAATCACCAGCCCAAACAATAACACACACGATTGTCGTGATGTATTTTTGAAGTTATTTATTTTTTTTAAATGACAGACCCAGGCATTAAAAACTTTATGTTTGCTAGAGTAGTTACCGAAATAGCAATTAATATTAGTTCTTTTACCTGTTATAACTTCGATATCCGATAAATCAGTATAAAATCATTACCGGCACCTCTAGGTGTAGTATGCGTCTACGGCGGCATGTATCGCGTGAGCGGTTATGTAACATAAATTTACACTTCAAAACGTCACATTTAAGCTGCTGCTCGTTCACTATGTTGACTTCCCAGAGAAGAATGAGCAAGAAGCTCTTGGATTGCTCTTTTCATATAAACTTAAATGCTATGGAATACACTTTGAATCAAATTTGTGTGGAATCTAGAGCCATGTCGTCTTTCAATACATCTTTATCTAACACGTAGTCTTCAATTTTGTAATATGGACTTTTCAATTAAAATACTTTCAATGTAGGTTTTAAACTTAGGAAATGATAATCTTATATGCTCCGGAATCTTATTATAAAAACGTATACAGTTCCCGAAAAAAAAGTCGTTTGCCGTGATTAAACGAAATCGTGATACCATGAGTTTGGACTTAGCTGTAAGGTTAATATTATAGATATCCCCTTTTTTAATGAAAATATATATATTTTTGATTATGGAATATACTTACATGTTATGCAATAAATTATTAACATTTATATCATTATAATTACAGATCATGATGTTCCTAGAGTATTTTATTCATATTATATACGTAATATTATAATGTCGAACAGGATCTTCAATAAATTCTCTTACACTCTTATACATTGAACTCTGCGTAGTGGTCCTTAGGTTAATATTGTGTTGGTATGAAATTGCAGAATGCAAGGATTGTGGTTTGATGTAGCTTCCTGGACCATTGCTCGTTGTACAACTGTGTTCTTGTAAGGGATTGTCCATATTGTTAGGTTTCGAATATTTTTGTTTCAATGTTTGTCTGTTAAACGACAATATGTTGAATGGATGTCAAGACTTGTAAAAGGATAATGTAAAATCAGGAGTTTTTTTTATTGGGAAATAAGGAATTATTTATTTATTTTCAAATGTATTATCGTATTTACATGGTTCCGTTTTGGAGCGTTAATACGATAAATCAAATATAATTATTGGTGATCGTGTATCAATGGCTGCCATTTTTTTCTTCTTTTTATGGTACCAAGTGAAAGGATACGAACAAGCTGTGTGTCTGGTGGCAAACGACACGCCTGTGCATATCTGTTGTAGTGCCAGTCAGTGCTTTAAATCACAAAGATCTGAGTGGTACTGCAAATGCGGCCTTCACCCTGAGACATAAGTTGACAAGTCTCATATTCTTGTAGCTTCAGCAGCACGCAGTAATGCTCACATTACGGCTTGGCGGCAGAAATAGGTAAGATGGCAGTACTTCCCTGGACGAACGCTTTATATAATAATAATAAAGCAATTTTGGTTTCAATGCAGGTTTTTTAAATAATAATAACAATTTATTCATGTCTGATAATATACAGGTAAGGTACAATAAAAGCTTAAATACTAGAAAGCAAAACTAGGATTTTTAAAATATATGAATAAAATTGGGTCCCCAAGGCAAGCTGCCCAAGGTGCTGCCAGCGTTCCTCCTTTGAATGGCTATGCTAATGCGTTGGGCAAGGTAGCTGCCGGCCCTTGAGTTTCACAGACAGATTATTAATTTTTTCGATAAAATTTTGTACAGATGAAGGGCACTGGGACCCCACGGGTCAAGGGTTTCGACTCCAAAAGCTGTAAACAGGTAGTCGGTGCCGAGATCCTGGTATTTATTACTTTTTATTCTTTCCGCCAGCTCAGCTGCGGAGCCAGCTCTCCGGTTTTTTTTTGGACTGTTCAAACTGGCATATCTCTATGCTTTTTACTTACTGCAGCAGATTTTGATATTTTTTACATTATATTTATTTGACATTGTGTTTGTAAAAATATGTATTTTTTTTATTTAGACGAATTTTTAATGGGAATCACACTTGATATTTATCATTTTTATATTAACTAAACGCGTCACTCTTGCATTGAACCTTTATTAAATTATAGCTTTAACTCTACTCCCGTGCACCATTGTGTAAGGTTACGTCGAGTCATTACCTCCAACTTAGTGTAAGAGACAAGAAATAAATTTTATAAGAGAGGGTTTTTTTGAAATGTACGAAACAAAGTAAACTAAATTTTAATATATAATAATGAATTTCGTAACCGATTGTGTAACACCTAAAATTTTTTTTTAGACACTATAATTCTCCGCTTGCGTCAGTTACACTCAATTATAAAAAAAAGGCTAGAGCTGATGATAAATTTAGTTCTTGCTGTAATATTCATTTGATGTAATTTTGGCCGGAAATGTCGACGCATTCTTATCTGTTATAGCTTAAAACATCATTTGAAACGCTGTTAACTTAAAAATGTCGCTTACGATAAGATGACGGTCATCACTCGATGTCAAGTACACAAATGACAAGAAATCTAATATTAATGCACTTATTACCGTACCTGCTACTGTGCAAAAGCCTTTACGCACTTGCCGCGGCCGCTCCTTGGGTGGGTCAGAGCGGCACAATTATATTTATCGCCGGGCACCGCTGTGTCGTGCGCCGGCGCATAAATCAGCGCATGTACGTTTCGATGCGTCGCGAACCGCCGCGCCGATGGGAATGTGCTTTTGGATTTTGTTAGATAATTTATGATAACTTAATATCTTAATGAGATCAAGTAGATTTTAATAGTCCGAGATCTAAACAGGGATTTCTTTGGTTAAAAGATGGTTAGAAACTATACCACAAACGACATTGTACCTAAAAAGTTGTTAAGCAATGACATGGCGTATATTTATTTTTCAAACAAACCAATGTTTCATGCTCTTTTTTAAATGCTTGACAGGCAGATTACTCCACTCCACCTGATGTTAAATGGACATGAAATCTAAACGTGAAGGAAACTGGTGCAGTTTTGATACAATCATTGCCTTAGTTCAACTGGCTATGAACCGTGAGGAGTGGAGAAGGTTACACCGACAAGAGTCAAGCTCTTAAATAAGATGATGAGAATACAGCAAGTTGTAAAGCGGTGACTACGGAAGCCAGCGCACATGCTTCGGAGCAGCAGGTCGATTCAGAAACTTACGATAACTATGTTGTCGATCGATTCGATTTGTTTCTTTTCACTATTAACCAAATAGAACGTCCAAAGGTCGTATTCCAAACCGAACCAAAATGACATTTCACCCGTACGACTACACGAACTTCTCGATCGGAAAGTCTACAAACGTTATTCAGAACACGGTTGTCGGATGCAAGTTACCGAACGTCCGTTTGTTTTCTTCGGTAACTTATTGAGTGGCGCTAAGCATCCGATATGTACATCTACACTTGATATAAATATTATTGAATGCCTTACTATCACCATGGAGGGTGTGATAAGTTTTATTAGGAGACGCAGACGTCAAACGATGTAAAATGGAAGTCTCTTATTATTTTAAACGAAATATGGATTTTGTTCAATTTTATTCACGTATAACTAATGCATTCCTATATTTTAGGCTTTTATCGTCTTAAAAATGTATTTCTATACAACTAAAAAAAACAATGATTTTAATTTTTCTTATAACCTATTTCACCGACTAACTCCGTAAACGCTGTTTTTATAACGATAGCGTCTTTCGATTCGAGAACGATATCCAACCGAACGATTCGGTTCAAATACTTAAGATACTTAAGTTCTAAATCGAGCTGCAGGAAAGTGGAGGGTGGGATAAGATAGAAACGCGTTACATTTACACTGTGATTATCGTTCCAATTACAAAAAATCACAGTGACAAATCACCGTGATTTTGTCACGTCTGGTACTTACATCGTGATATATGGTTTTGGAAAGCGATATAACGTTTCATTTCATGTGAAAAATTGATCCGCAATAACCTTCAC